CCCCTTCCCATGGCTGCATGCAGCAAAATGTATAGGGACACAGAACATTACATATAACCTGTCAAGCCAGTTGCTGCCTCACATGCAGGCTGTCACCTTCTGCCTTCCAGAAGCCATGATAACCATCCGGACATTTCCCCCCCAAATATGATTCCCCAATTACTAAACTCTCACATAGGCTTTAACCCTTTCGCTGCCAAGGCCCTTTTGTCGTTTTTGCACACATGATTTAATCCGTATTTTTGGCCTGAAAGTTACTTCCACTAGTCACCAGTGTGAGGAGACCTTTCACTGGCCACAAATCTAAGGACACTTTTCACTGACTACCAATATAATACCTTTTACTGGTCACCAATATAAGAAGACCTTCCACTGACCACCAATGTAAGGAATCCTTTCACTGGCCACCAATATAAGGAGACCTTTATCTGGCCACCAATATAAGGAGGTATTCCACTGGCCACCAATGAAAGCAATCCTTTCTCCGACCACCAATGTAAGCACACCTTTCACTGGCCACCAATATGAGGGGGAATTTAACTGGCTACCAAGGTAAGGAGACCTTTCTCTGGCCACCAATGTAAGGAGACCTTTCTCTGGCCAATAATGTAAGGAGACCTTTCACTGGCCACCAATGTAAGGAGACCTTTCACTGGCCACCAATGTAAGGAGACCTTTCACTGACCACCAATGTAAGGAGACCTTTCACTGACCACCAATGTAAGGAGACCTTTCACTGGCCACCAATGTAAGGAAACCTTTCACTGGCCACCAATGTAAGGAGACCTTTCACTGGCCACTGATGCAAGCAGGCCTTTCTCCACTGGCAAGCAAAGTATGTCTGTCAGCCTTTAATGGCTATTATTAAAAGTATTTAATCATACAGAGGAAGGGGGGTGTTGAAATATGATCAGCCTTGGCAGTCAGTCATATACTCTAGATGAGCCAAATTCTTTATTCTCTTATTTTTTGATCTTGCGGATATATAATGAGCTGTACATATCATTTTTCTCCGGGGTTCCTCAAGGCCTACAATTTATTTCAGTGGCTCCTCTGGGGTAAAAAGCTTTACTGTAGAAAGGCTGATTTCATGCAATCCTTGTTTTCTCTCCTAGAACAAGTGCCACTACCTATGGAGCGATGGGAACGCCGTTTGAGCCGAATTATCTCATGAATCCAGGTACAGCACTGGCACTACAGAGTGCTCACCAATAGAGAGAACATACACGGAGCTCTGACAATGCTGTAACCTATACCTGTGGTTGAACTCGATGGACGTGTGTCTTTTATTCAACCTGAAATACTATGTAACATACTGAATATTGTTCAATTGATTTACTTTTGCATTAGAAGTAAGGACTCGGCCACTTAATTGGCTAAAGCTAAACAGGAGATTTCTAGCAGCTTAATAATGATACAAAATCACAAAGAGTAGCAATTGATTGGTAACCGGATGAAGAAAGGATTGGAGAAGTATTATCACGTTTCTGGTGGAGGACTGATGAGCTGAGGAGGCCTCCATTGCGGCTCTTGTCTCACACCCCTGGATGTGGGAACAGGGAGCGAGTAGACAGAGAGAAGCACGGATGCCAAAGTGTTCAGACACGGTGCCTGCTAGAAGTCCGGCACCTGCATCCCCTGGAAGGATGAGCAGGGCTGGTGTGCAGTTGAGAGGTCAGCGTGGTTGCAGCTGAAACTGGAGCGAAGTGAAACAAGCCAGGGGTTGAAGCCAGACGGTCAGTATGGTACAAAGGGAGCAGGCAGAGGCAGAGTCCAGAGAACGAGCAAAGGTCAGGGGCAGGCAGCAATCAGTCGAAGTCAAAGGCAATCCGGGTCAAGGCAACAGGCAATCAAACTTGCAGGAACACAGAAGCACAAGCTGAAAGACCATTGAGCACTGATTCATTGGGCCAGCTAGTTTAAATAGGATCATCCATCAGAGAGCAGCGTGTCACTTTCTGTGCGCCACATTACTTTGTGCGCGCATGCGCACGTTTTCCGGCAACCCGGAAGACTGGGGACCAAGCATGCACAGTAGTGCGCGAACTGCCGGCTATTGCCTTACAAGTATCTTCATCTAATATTTTCTGTTTAATTATATTTTGGTTCACTGAAAGCTCTGTGTACACGGTGCAGGGTGCATGGCATGTCTATACAGCGTGCATGTGTAAATGTTTCACACTTTTGTGGCTGTTCACATTTCCTCTTGTGTTTTGATAAAGCTTAAAGTGGCCACTTAAACAGTTGCAATGTATAAATGTGAGTGATTTGTCTGCCAAAAGATTTCTAGCTTTGTTTAGCCAGTCCTGTGATACAAACACTGGCAGAGAGCACAGGCATGAAGGTACTACTTCCTACGGAACTGGAATGAATATCATCACATGATGCATTGTCAAGCGTGCAGGCCGATGCACAGAAAGTGGCAAAACTGCACACACAGTGAAAAAGTGTTCTCACCCAAATTGATATAATATATACTGTATATCCAAAGGGTTGTGGATACTTGACCTTCACACTTGCATGATCTTGTTGAACATCCCCATTGAACTTTCCATCCCACCATGGTCATTATTATGGAATTAGTCCCCTCTTTGCGGCTATAACCCTTCCGCTCTTCTGGGAAGACTTTCTATAAGATTTTGGAGGGTGTTTGCATAAATTTTGCCCATTTGTGAGGTCAGGTACATATGTTGGATGAGAAGACCTGGCTCACAAAATCATTATTCCAAATTCCAATTCATCCCAAAAGTGTTCAGTAGGGTTGAGGTCAGGGCTCTGTGCAGAACACTCAAGTTGCTCCACACCCTACTGGTCACACCATGTTGGATGAGAAGACTTGGCTGATAATCACCATTCCAATTCATCCCAAAGCTGTTGAGTAGGGTTGAGGTCAGGTACTGATGTTGGATGAGAAGACCCGGCTCGCAGTGTTCCAATTCAACCCCAAGTTTTTCAGTAGCGTTGAGGTCAGGGCTCTGCGCAGGAACACTTGAGCTCCTCCTCACCAAACTGGTCAGACCATGTCTTTATGGAGCTGGCTTTGTACACAGGGGACAGTCATGGTGGAACAGAAAAGGGTCTTCACCAAACTGTTACCACAAGTTTGGAAGAGCCCAATTGCCTACAATGTCTTTGTACGATGTAGTATTAACGGAACCCTTCAATGGAATCACATTATCTCAGTCATTTGGAAGGCGGTCCACATACTTTTGGCCATCTAAGTAGGTATGATGGTTAGGTGTCCTCAGGCGTTTGGCCATATAGTGTATGTAGTATGTATTTCAACGGTATAGTTTACAAAAAGTTGACAGGATTTAATCTTTGACCATTTTCCATTTTATGATATTTTAGTTCAGTAAAAGCTGCCTCTGTGCACAGTTTAAGGTACTTTAGTGGTGGACTGTCTCTACCTTTCTCCCTTTCCTTGCTGCGTTTGTTCTTTCTTAGGGATGTTAACACTGAATGCCAAAGACTGACTCCATTTGTGTCTTTCTACCTCCTCAGACTTGGAACGGGCCCCTCTGCTCTCTGAATCTGCCTACATGAGTACATCTATGACGCCATCATCTTACCCCCCAGGCGATGTAGCATCTGCCCCTATGATGGCTCCTGTCATTGGTGCTGATGACCCTACAGCTCCTCCCACAGGGTGGCCCACTCTTCCTGGATATGAGGGCATGGGCACCGGTGAGTGTAAGAATATATAATTTCATTTTTTTTTTAATGGTTGTCTGTTTAAAACTGCTAAAAATCTAGGAGAGTATTTTATTACCATACTGAATTATAACCCCAAAGGGCATATCAAATGTCCCAACAACCAAAATGATTCCTTATCTCACAACTTCTTTTATTCTGATCTAATAACTAATGACTTTAGAACTTTTCTTCTGGAAAGCTGTTTTGCATTCCATCATCCGCTATCCCTCCAAATTGATGAAATGCCCCCTGGAAGTATATGTAAACACTAATGATGGTAAATATACCATTGCAAGCTTGGAGAGCATGAGAGGGTGAGGTGTTCTGTAGACCTTAAGCACTTTCTGTCCTAGGGTGACAACACTGCTCTTCCATTGATATACTAGGGTGAGCGAGTGTTGTCACCCTAAGACAGGAAGTGTGTTACTGGCAGGATCACCAGCTGCAAATTAAGGGGGAAAAAAAGTCACAGCACATATATGGAGAGGTAAACTGTAATATAATATTATTTTTGCTTTTGGGTTTAGATACACTTTAATATACTCAGCTGTGTTCCAGGATTCCTGAAGATCCAAATGTAATATTGTTTTTGGGAAAAAAAAAGATAAAATATGATCTATGTCACCACCAATGATGCTTGTTATCAACATTGCAACTGTTACCTGACAGATCACTTTCTCCCTTCTGTAGGTGGTGGATTCCTTCCTCCTCCAGACCTGGGTCCGGTCCCTGGTGGTGTGCCTATGGCAGCAGATACCAACTGGACGTAGGAATTTCTGAAATTTCTTCCTGTAAATTATATCTGGTTTAGGATTAGAGATAAAATATGAAATATATACTGAAAATGTTAAAGCATATATTGGAAATACGAGGGGAGGGGGGGTTCAAAACCAGAGCAGACAAAATCTGGAGCAGCTGTACACAGCAACCAATCAGCTTCTCTTTCCAGTTTGTTCAGCTAAACTTTCAAAATGAAATAGCTGCTCCAGATTTTGTCTTCTCCAAATTTGATAAATTCCCCCCAGGGTGTCTATTGCTGATGATCTTCTAAAAATGCTGGTTTCTGGGCTGTGTCTGGTTTTAGGACCCATTTAGTCTTGTGTATGATTGCATTAAAGCGTGCAACCCAACGCACTGTACAGTAGCGGCCAATGCACAATGCTCCACAGCACACTACACCACACATACTGTGCATTGTGGTTGGCTGTGTTGGAATAAGAGGTTCTTGTAAGTAATTTATTAAAGTTGTGGTGCATTGGCTGCCTTAAAGTGACACTAAACTCCGGAGTTAAATCTTAAAAATACATTCAAGTTCTGAACAACAATGTATCTTATTTTAGAAATTGATTTATTTTTCTTTATATTTTGTACTGCATTATATTATATTACTGTATTGTATTCATTTTTATATGAATATTTTTGGGTTGTGGAACGAATCATCTGAATTTCCATTATTTCCTATGGGGAAATTCGCTTTGATATACAAGCGCTTTGGATTACAAGCATGCTGCCGGAACAAATTATTCTCGTAAACCAAGGTATTACTGTACATTGTTGTTCAGAGTTAAGGTTCTTGAATGTATTTTTAAGATTTGATTCCTGAGTTTAGTGTCACTTTAACGCACAAAGTAGCTCATGTTTACGCACATGAATTAATATACTGCTACAGAAGGTAAAAGAATCTGCTCTAAATGTTTCAGATTCACTGACCTGGAAAAAGCATGCAGGAAAAACACAAAAAAAACCCCCTGAAAAGTCAGAATTCTTTAATAACAGGTTATTCACAAAAGGGTGAAGAATTTGGAGAGGGAAGGAGAAGTGAACAATCTAGGACAACATCGCTGAATTGGAACATTTTTCTTAATCAGCTATTTTGTCCTAGATTGTTCACTTCTCCGGCCTTCTCCAAACTCTTCACCCTTTTGTGAATAACCCCATTAATCTCTAAACTTTCTCAACGCCTGAGGTAAATAATAATTTCAGAAGCAGAAGTAGCAATGGTAGCCGACATATTTGTCTTAATAAAGGTTTCATTCAATGTAGAGATCAACAGAAACCTTTTCAGAGGAATGAAAATTCTTAGCAAGCTCATTGAATGCAAAACATGATTGCAACAAATTTTTATTTGGGCAAAAAGCATCATTAGAATCACAAATGGCCAATAGATAAGTTATCAATTCTAGTAGCAGTTGGTGGGGGTGCTCTCCGCACACCTTTCAGCAGTCCCGGCCAATAAACAAAGATGGTGCTTGTAGTAACTACCACGTAGAAAAAGATAGAAAAAACACAAAGTAGAAAAAGATAGGTCACCAGCACTCAAAATAGTTCAAATAAATAAGTCCTTTTTATTGGACAATTGTGTCACGATAATCAAAACGAGCCGACGTTTCGGGGCCACGCAGGGTCCCTTCCTCAAGGCAAAACAATTCTAGTAGTTTACTTTTTTTTGGAGTGTTTTTGGCTGCGGCGGTCTGAGTATAGCTCGCTGTATACTGAGCTTTGGGTGATGGGAGGACGCTAGTTTGTGTCCTCCCGTGGCCCTTAGGAGAACTATGGGGAAAAACACTGACCCCATAGTTCTCCTTTAAGTCAACGTTTGAGGGAACACAAGAAGTAAAGAACTATTATAAAAAGGATATGACAATTGTATTTTGTATTCAAAGGATAACATTTATATCGCGAATGTAATGTCAGTGCAAAATACAATTTTATACAAAATATAAAATTAATATTGAAAATGTTTTCAAAAGAGGGTACATGGCTATTCATTTCAATAGTTGTTAGACCATAACAGTATCATTTGTGTACCACAGTTCATTTAAAACCCTTCTCAAAGGTTTTTGCTTTGACAAAGGACAAAAACAAAGGATTGACGTGTTTTGTTTTTCTTATCTTGTTATATGTCCTTTTGTGACGGTATCATTTGAGGCATTTGATCATATATAGCCTGTCTCCTCTCGCCTATATTTGTTGGTATCTATAAAAGAAAATGTGTGCTGGAATCACTAGCAAAACCCGCTCCCGCATTCTTGTGCTAAGCACATGAGCCATCGTTGAGATAAGCAGATAAGGGTCTGGTTTGCTACAATGGTTGACAACCTTTGCACTGACCTCATCAGTTGAACTATTGTTGGACTGGTTCATCATTATAGATTAGGGGGAGCCTTATTCCTGTAAACCTTATCCCACCCACATTACCTCATTGCCCCCTTTCCTCTCCGTTTTCTCAAAATTTGACATTGAATTACCCCCTCCGCAGGGCCTGTGCTAGACTATTTTGTGCCCTAGGCAAGACCAGCTACTTGCACACCTCAGCCCCCCTCTGACAGTGCAACCCCCAATCCCCCTGGCACGGCCCCATTCTCCTGCCGGCTAGCTTCTGCAGACGACAGGTGGATGTAAGCAACCGAGAGCAAAAGCCAGACTACTATTGGCTATTTTAATTTGAAATAGTCAATGGCAGACTGGCTACTGAAATCCCACCCACTGAGCAGAGGCAAGTTGTCTCTCAGTTCTACTCATCTGTTTAGTGGGAGGGTGCAATAGCCAGCCTGCTATTGGCTTTTGCAATTTAAAATAGACATGGGGCACTGTTAGGGAAGTGGTCGAGGCTGCACCCTAGGCAGCAGTGCGCCCTAGGCAGCTGCCTAGTTTGCCTAGTGGCAACACCGGCCCTGCCCCTCCGTACATTTATTTCTTTGGACCCCTCCCAGCACTTCTGGCATTGTCACCTAGAATTACATCCCATTTGCCTACATCCTCCTGGGATACTGACCGACGCACATCTCAGGAGGCCTGTATGGGTGCTGTATGGCACATGTGCATTTGCACATCATCAATGGGTCAGCTGTCTCTTCTTGTCTCTTACAGACAGTCCCCTGAGGATGCACTGCTGCGCATGTGCATCCTCAAGAGTTTGGCAACAAGAACCCAGAAGAAACAGCCAGCCCCCTTGATGTAAGGAAAAAAGATTTCAACGCGGGACCTGAGAGGATTGGTGGATTCGCTGGACATGTGAGTATGTGATTTCAGGATAACCCAGCAAACCAGGTGAGTGGGTATTCACAAATAAATAATTAAATAAATACATACCACGGGGAGGGGGAGTTACACTTTAATTTTGGCCCGAGTTTGGCTTGTATATTTGTCTCTTAGTGATCGACTTGTTCTCTCCTCCATGTAGAATCCCATTTATCTCAGAAGACACTGCTAGGAAAGCTCTCTTGGATTATGCCGACAGGAAATGCTGTTATAGCACCAGCCCTGCAGAGCAGATGGACTTCCGTGAACTCCGACCCTACAATACATACAGAGTGAGTGATCAGCTATACCCGGCGTTCCCTTTTTCCCCCCCCACTATGTTCCTCTCTTCGCTGAACCACAGAGCTAGCACTCAGAAACCACAATCCCAATGCTGCTCGAATGGTAGAATAGATTTGACAGTGATCAAAGAGAGAATGAAAATGACTTTGTATGAAGTGGTGACTCCTATTAATAATTTGATTGTCTGGTAGATCTGTGTAACCATTTGTCAAATTGTTTATTTGTAGTATCGACTGGAGACCTTCACCGAGTCCCGGACATGTAAATGGGTGACCAAGCCTCATACTGGTCAGTATACAGAGTATTAATGCCGATGGTTGTGCTTCTATTTCTATGACATTAGTTACATATGAGTGGAAAGGAATGCTGGGGATGTTGGGTTAAGAGAAAACCCAGTCAATAGATTCTCCCTATCTACCTTGCTTCCTTTTACCTACCCACCTTCCTCCCCCCTCTCCCTCCTTCTCTTTTCCTTCCCCCTCTCCCTCCTTCCTTCTAACCTACCTGCCTTCCTCTTCTCCCTCCCCTTATTTCTTTCTTCTCTTCCCTCCCTCCTTCGCTCCTTCTCTTCGCTCCATCCCGTACCTACCTTGCTTCTTGTCTCCTACATCTTTCCTTCCATACTTTCCCTCCCTCCCTTCCTTCCTTCCCTTCTTCCCCCATTCCCTTCCTTTCCTTCTCCCTCCCTCGCTTCCTTACTCCCTCGCTCTCACTTCCTTCCCCCTCTCCCACCTTCACGTCCTCTCTTCCTTCTTACATACCAACCTACCCTCCTTCTTTTCACCTACCTAACTTCCTTCCTTCCCCTTCTTCCTTTCGTTCCTCCCTTCTTCTCCTCCCTCCCTTCCTTCTAACCTACCTTGCTTCCTTTTACCTACCTTCTTTCCTTCCCCCTTTTCCCTCCTTGCCTCCCTTTCCTTCTCCCTCCCTTACTAATTTCCTTCCTTCTCTTCTCCCTCACCCCCTCCCTCTCTCTTCTTTCCCGCTCCCTCTCCTTCCCTTCCTCCATGCTTCCTTTTACCTACGTTCCTACCTTGTTCCCCTTTTCCCTCCCTCCCTCCCTTCCTTTCTCCTTCCCTTCTCCCTCCCTCGTGTCCTTCCTCCCCTTCTCCCTCTCTTGCTCCTTTCTTTCCTCTTCTCCCTCCTTCCCTTCCTCCCTTACTTCTAACCTTCCTTGTTCCCTCCCTCCCTTCCTTGTTCCCCTTTTCCCTTCCTTCCCTTCTCCCTCCTTCGCCCCTTTCCTTCCCTTCTTCCTCCCTCGCTTCTTCCTTCCCTTCTCCCTCCCTCACCTCTTCCTTCCCTTCTCCCTCCCTCACCTCTTCCTTCCCTTATTTACATTCCTGCAGACATGGAGCAATCCCTCTCTGTAGGTGCACTATTTCTTACCCTTCATTGTGGCCACATATTCCACAGAGCTCAATAGCTCAAGAAGCTTCAATATCCCCATTCTATAACTCCAACATATTCCGCAGTGCTATACAGAGAACACTGAGCCATCCATATCAGTCCCCAATGCATAGGACCTTATCATATGGGTCACATATTATTTTATTCCTATCACTATACAGTGAGCATGGCTCCATTCACAAAATCATCTATTACACTGTAATGTCCTCACAACAAAGTCACTCATAATCTGTTACCACAATGTGGTTGGAACTTTATTATTCTACCAATATGCTGTCGGACTGTTGGAGGGAAGAGTCCTCTCCCTTAATGGGAAATAGAACCCTGGTGCTCTAAGGAAAGGTATGCACATGTACTAGCAGGGATTTATTAGGCCAGCGGTAGGCAACCTCAGAACTCTAGCTGTTGTCAAACTACAAGTCCCATGAGGCATTGCAAGACTCTGATAGCCAAAGGCATGACTCCCAGAGAGGCATGGGATTTGTAGTTTGACCACAGCTGGAGTGCCGAAAGTACAGGCCATTGCATGTGCCTTGCCTCTCGGTGCCAAACCGGGCAAGGAGGTGCTTTGTCTTCTGGCTACCCGGGATATAATATACTAACACCCATGCTTCTTTATATTTAAAGCCTTGCGCAATGTGTTTGGGAATCTGCAGAACAGTGTGCAAGAAATGCCACGGAGCCGGTCGGGTAAGAACTATTGTACAGCTTTCACACTGTCTGTTGATGCAGCAATCCGATTGTTCGTTGAGACAATATTTTAATAAACCCTATCAATCGCTTTTGACCAGTAGGGTAACAATCACCATAGGGGCCCCGGGGCACAGGGGGGCCTGGCCAGGACATCCCCCTGATGTCGTGCGGGCCGCCTGGGTCTCTATGGCATTTCAGGCTGCTGGCTGTCACTGGCGGCTGTGAGGAGGAACACGCAGCCATTCACATGTGCAGAGGCGCGTACCTCCTCACCGCTGCTGAGTCGATGACAACCAGCAGCTTTGGGGGAGGTGGCAGGGCCCGTCGTTGGCAGCGATGGAGGAGGCGGGGCCCAGTGATCGAGGAGGAAGGTCTTAGCGATGGGGAGGCGGGCCCGATCGTGTAGGAGAAGGAGACAGACGGAGGTTTGGCCAGACAGGTAAGAGGGCTTGACCGCCCACCTGAGACCCAGCAAAGCCCACCATAGAGGAGCTCTGCAGGGTCACCCTCAGGTGGGCTGTTTGGGATATCAGGTGGACTTATCTAGAAATCACAGGGCCCCATACAAGGTTTTGCTACGGGGCCCTGCGATTTCTAGTTACGCCCCTGCTTTTGACTATCGGTTTGCCTGCTTTTGGCCGATTTTGCAGATCTGATTTGAAAATAGAAGATTCCGTTCTATAAACCAATGTGTATGGAAGAATGTAGAAAGGATGCCAGTTTTTAACGTGCAAGAGGTCACAAGGAAAGCCAACACGTAACACTCCCCTATCATCAGGGTTACGGAACAAGATGACCTAAAAGGAAGTTAAAAAGTAGAAGGCACGAGTTACGATATCCCAATATGTGGTGTAAAAACGATATATACAGTACTATATATAACATAAAAACATAATCAGGCATCGATATGACATGATGGTATAAATAAAGTCGTGAAGAGTCATTAAATATAATGAAATAATACAAATTAAAAATTAAAATAATAACTAATAAGTAATATTAAAGGTAAAGATTGATACAGGGATAGGAACTTCTTATACCCGTCAGCGCCATCTAGGGGCACTAGTGCCGGGCGAATGGCTATATTCTGGGTGGAACGTTTAATAATTTAACCCCTAAGTGTTAGCCTGTATCACCCTTAACTGTTAGTATTTTCCCATGAATATTTTTGTATTATTTAATTATATTTGATATCGCCACATGATTTTACCACTTTTTGCGAACATGATATTACCATCATGTCATATCGAGGTCATGCATTATATATTCATGTTTTTATGTTATATATAGCAGTGGTTCTCTGCTGTAACAGGGGCGTAACTAGAAATCACAGGGCCCCATAGCAACATTTTGCATGCTCTATAAGGCCTATTGGCTTTGAGGTGCTCCCATACTTTCGCCATTCTTTTCCTCAAATGAATATTTATTGAGTTTAACAAAGAAAACAGTCACATACATGTTGCAGTAGAAAACATATACCTGTGGTAAACAGGTCAAGCACAATCAACGTATGGTGCATGAAATATATCGCAGTTAGCCCTCGTTCACACCTAGGCGTATTGCATATGCGCGTCTGTCGCGCGTTTTTTTACCGCGATTCGCGTTTCCGAAGGCTACTTGGCTGTATCCCAATGGAAACGCGCAAACAAAACGGCCCAAAGTAGTACCTGTACCTTTTGTAGCGAGTTAGGGACGGGCGGAAATACGCCAAGGTGGGAACGAGACCATTGACTACAATGCAATTTATATTTTTGACCGTTTTGTAGAGCGTTCGTCGAGCGTAGAACGCGCTACAAAACGGTCAGGTGAGAACGAGGGCTAATAGAAGTACACAACTTTGGTCCTTAGGACAAGTGTAGCATGTAGGACTCCTCGGCCAAAGTATACAAACTAAATCGGTATTGGCAATAGTCCAACCTTGAAGTACTCCAGCACTTAGGGCTCTTGTCATAAGACAATAGTACCTGATACTGAGTGACGTAGGATGGATGAGATGCGGCTCAGCTTCATCTAGTGCTTTAGCAGTCAGAGAAATCAGCATCTTTGCAATTCTAAAATACTAGCAACAACATAAGACTTCTTTTGCCATTCTTTAGACTACTTTGAGGATCCCAGTTGACAGAGGTGCCCTCTGAATTTGGATCTCAAGCCCTTTCTTTTTCCATTTCCAGCGCTCTGTCAACATGTTTATTGTCGAACTGTGATAGCACGATCAATCCAAAACCGTCCCGTTTAGATTTTCATTTACTTTTTCAGCTGAGCCTTTGAATTAAAAAGCCATCAGATTAATCCCAGCAGGTGTATTGTTTGTATTGAACGAAATGATTGTATCAGATATCCTAATAATATGATCAGGATCGAATGGTGAGATTTGGATGCTGTTGATCACACACCACTTAGCCACGTGTCTTATTATTTGTGTCTGCACACAGATTCGCTGTTGGGTCTGTCAAGGGAAAGGACGTCAATTTGAAGATGCCTGCAACCACTGCAGGGGATGTGGAACAGCAACGTAGGTGCAAAGATTGGCATAAAATGGCGCATATAAATAGTGCAGGTCAAGTGTGCCATTGTGTGCAGTGCATATCACCGGGCTATGGAGGCAGTAAATTATAAATAGGAATACATATATAAATAGGAAAAAAGATAATTAAATATATTTTAAAGAAGAAAAAATAATAATTGGGAGGAGCTAGCAGTGACAGCTAGCTCCGCCCGACTGTTTCCTATTGGCCGGCATCTGCCAGATTCTTCGAGCAGGTCCCAGGCCAATGAATAACAACTAGGCGAAGCTGGCCGTGATGTCACAGCCGGCTCCGCCCCAGTTGTTATTGTTTAATGACAGATCAGCATCCCCAGGTCATTTGGGGATACTGATCTGTCATTACAACTAGGCGGAGCCAGCCGTGAGATCACGGCTGGCTCCTCCCAGCTATCATTTGCGGGTAGAATGGCCGGCTTTTCGGCAGGCCGTTCTCCCCGCTTCGGCTTTCACTTCGAAGCATATGCCTTCGGCTCGGCTGAGCCACTCGGCTGCTGTACGGGCTATTGTGAATATCACGTACAGCGGCCCTTCGGTTTGACTGAAACGAAGGGCAGAGGCGGCCGAAGAGAGCCGAAGGATCAGCCGAAGCTATGGCTGGATCCTGCAACTCTTTAGCGAATAACCCCCTTAATGTTCCTATAGCGGAACTAAAACCTCTTATCCTTTTTAGCCAAGTGAGGTGCCATATTAGCCACTATTTAGATTGCAGTTGCCATGGTGTGATCAGCTATGACACCAGCCATTTGGGAGCACACGGCCAACCTTGACAGTTGGCACGCCTTGAGACCATTGGATTGATGGGTCTAGTTCTGCTTTAAGGCTATTTTCAATTCTGGTCAAATATTTTGTGCAGTAGTGAAAGGGGAAAATACCACATTATGGACACTCGATGGAGCTGAGAATCATAGGAAATAAATACATATTAGTAACAATAGATACAATATAACAATTCAATAGAACACTGGAGGGAATTAGCAGATAAATGTAACCATTGCTACCACAGGATCCCCATCATAGCAATTAGGGATGCACCGATACTAGTATCAGTATCGGTGCCGATACTGAGTATTTGGGCGAGTACTCATACTCGGCCAAATGCTCCGATACCTACCTCCGATACCAGAACTTCCAGTCAGAGGGAGGTCTCCCTTTGACTGGCAGTGCCGAGGGTGCATGGAGCCGGCTTCCTTTCCAATCAGGAAGCCGGGCAGTGGGTTATGACCCACCTCCCGACTTCCGGTTTGGCTAGGAAGCCGGCTGCACATGTTGCACGTCATGACTGCTGTCCCGGCTTCCTGATTGATCAGGAAGCCAGGCTGCCTAGGAACAAGTGAAGCCAGCTTCCTAGCCACTTAGGAAGTTGAGGGGCGGGTCATGATGTGCTACCCGGCTTCCTAATTGGCTAGAAAGCCGGCTTCACTTTATGCTAGGCTGCCTGGCTTCCTCATGTCTCGCCACCCGGCTTCCTGATTGGTCAGGAAGCCAAGCAGCCTCTGAAGCCGGCACTCTTTCGCTAGAACACTGGCTTCACAGACAATCAGGAAGCCGGGTGACGGCTCATGATCTGCCGCCCGACTTCCTGATATTCGGGGCACGATGCACCGGCACTCGGTACTCGGTATCGGCGAATACAAAATACAAAAAAAAAAAAAAAATATCAGTACTCGATACCGAAAAACGGGTATCGGTGCATCCCTAATAACAATGATTACATTTGCCTGCTAATTCCCTCCAGAATTCTCTAGAATTGTTACATTGTATCTCTTGTTGCTAAGATATATTTATTTCCTATAATTCTCAGTTCCATCTAGTGAGCGTAATGCGTTATTTTCCTGATTCGCTACTTCACTATTTGAAGAACATTCGACCAGAAGAGAAAATAACCTCAAGAACATTTGATTTTGCCCCATTTTCCCAACAGATGATTATTTCCCACAGAACCAATGTTCAGTACATGCAGTTCTGCTGCAAATGTTATTTCTATAGATAGACCCCTCTCCTCTTTGTAGCATGAGATTTAAAGGAGAACTATGGGGTCAGGGTTTTCCCCATAGTTCTCCTAAGGGTAACCGGAGGACACAAACTACCGTCCTCCCATCACCAAAAGCTCAGTATACCGCGAGCTACAGCTCGCGGTATACTGAGACGCCGCAGCCGGAACGGATCCCGACAATTATGTCTGGATCCGCCCAGCTGCGTGAGTGACAGCTGGCTCTGCCTAACTAGAGGCAGAGCCAGCTGTACCCGCCCCCTCCCCCATCCGTTCCACCAGTCAGCGCTGGAGGATCGAACGGGGGAGGGGGAGCGTGGAATCCCTGCAGGCAGCCGTGAGTTACATTGACGGCTCTCTGCACGGATAGATCGAGAAGTGAGCGAGCGCCGGTATGTGTTCGCTCACTTCCCGATCTACTGAGCCGACCTGTGACAGTTTCATTGTCACAGGTCGGCTCAGATTATGAGGCTGAGTGAAAATCACTCACCTCATAGTTCTCCTTTAAATCCCCTCCGTCATTAAGCCCTCGGACTATGTCAGCACCTGCAAATCCCTGAAACAATGAGAAAAAGAAAATGGTGTTTTTGGTCACTTGCTAGCTTTATGGTTTATGACGATGACCTTAGCTGCTTTTCCATTGACGCGGCCCAGCCCCCACTTCCAGGGGAAGTTACCTTTTTCATTTAGATAAATGACATTCGTCATACAGCGCAAAGTTTAATCTCTGTTCTGCTTTCTGTCATAAATGTCGTTGTCCTTGTCACCCGCAGCTGTACAAGCTGTCACAGCTCCAAATACCAGACGTGCGAAGGGTGCTCAGGGCGCGGACAGATCCTGAATTACATACAGCTGACTGTCACATGGTAAGAGGGAAGCGGGCAGCGACTGAACCTGTACAGAGCTTTGTTTACATGAATGCCAGCGGTGCAGACCACAGGGCCGAAAATCAGCCGCACTTCCTCCTTCCCCGGGGAATTCCCAGACACACATTGTACAAGGAACTGACACAACGTAAAGGTCACCATACATGTGAATGTTTTATTATTAGACACGTGCATACTAGACATGTAAGCTGTGGAAACATTTGGTTCGGATATTTAGTTAATTCAGGATTCTGATCTGAAATTCAATCCGGTTCGGGTTTCGGATTTGGACGAAATCCAAATCTTCGTTAGTTCCGGATGAGTTTACAAATATTTGATGCGAATAACACAGAAAACCAGATACAGATATTAATACTGAAGCTGAGGCTCCCAGACCTGAATTTCCGGATTGCATTCGGGAGCTTCCAAATACCATTCGGGTCTGGGAACCATATACATATATTACTAAAGCTGAGGCTCCCAGACAGGGGCGTCCCGAGGCTGGGTGACACCCGGAGCGGTAACTGAGTGTCTCCTCAGCTTTAGTATTATATGTATATACTGTATATGGCTCCCATGTTGCCCTTAACGAAAATTTGTGTTCAGACCCATTCGGAGGCATTAAACCGAAAAATACATCTGATTGGCCAGAAAAGTCACATGTCCGATTCAGTTTAGTTTTTGAACGAAATTCAGGGGGGTTCGTAATTCGGAAATGGAAATTAAGATTCAGATGCATTGGGATTCCGAAATTCGGATGTGACCGAGTTTCAGAAAATTCGTCCACATTCTTATTCGGATCAAACCGAATCGCACATGTCTAATGCATACAACCCAGTATAACACCTCCATATATCCCCCACCCAAAGGGAACTTCCAGGTCATGCTGGAGGAGTAGAAGCCGTCATACAAAATCCACAAATCAGATTTTTCGCGGATTTCGCCTAACAACAGGAAAAAAACAAGAAAAAAAAAATACAAATTATATATATATTGTTGAAAAATGGAT